TGTTTTTTTTTTTTTTTTTTTTTTTTGTCAGATATATCTGGCTCTGCTGGAGGTTTTCCAGGGAGTGATATAAAGGCAGGGATTATACCTGTCTTTGCTTTGACCCTGGTTTCAGTTCTAACTCATCTTCCATGTACACAACTTATTTATCAAACTTGTGTCCTTTGACTCTCTGAAGCCTGGCTTTCAAAATGTCCCATTGCCAAGGGCCAGTGTCTGTGAGGCAGGGCAGTGTGTGTTTGGCTTTTCTCACTCTGTGGATGGAATAGACTAAGGCTGGTCCATTGCAGAAAATCTTGTTTCAGAGACCCACAGATTGATTTTGCTACAGTTTTTCTTTTCCCTGTTGCTTCTGTGCACATCTATCCAAGAACAGCCTGGGTCTGTCAGACCCACCAATATTATCCCCATTTCATAAGTTGCCAAGCAGGAAAAAAGTCCAGTGTTTAAAATAATTTATTAAGTGCCAACAGATAGCTGAAAATAAGCAGTGATGTGACACTACTGACATGCAGAAGATCAGAAGCAACCATTTGACTGCTCTCTGAGAGAGGCTGGCAGCAGTGATGAACAGTTACAAATTATCTCTGAAATCAGTCATCAGCTGGTGGAAAACCGTTGCTTGTTAGCGTCCTTGGCAATCTTACTCCCAGATTCCTCCTTTTCCCTCGCTAATGACTGTGGGTTTTGCTGGTTTCCCATTCCTTTATCCATCACAGCTGATGGCCTCATTACGGCTCGACTCAGCCAGCTGGCTGTTAACGTACCAGTGATGGAGAGCATGGAGGCATGAGGGCACCAGCCTCCAGCTGCTTCCTAGAAGTCCACAAGTGCTATTTATCAGGCCTGTGTCACTCTGTTAGTAATAGGACCCTGGCTCCCTGGCTCTGCTAACTGCTTCTAATTAGCACATTTCTGTCAGCAAATGCCAGGGAAAGTGAATGGATGGAGCAGTAAAGACATACCGTCATTCCCTGTGCATTACAGTTCAATGTCCCACTGAAGTATTTTCTGAGAAAGTCTCTTTGTTTTCCTTTCAGCAAATCCCTGCGAGCTCCACTGTCGCCCAATAGATGGCCATTTTTCAGAGAAGATGCTTGATGCAGTGACTGATGGTACTCCTTGCTTTGAAGGAAGACACAGCTGAGATATCTGTATTAATGGATGGCATGTGTAAGGTATTGGGTATGTTTGCATGTTTCTTTCTCTACAATTTTATTTTATAAAGTTATGGGAAAACGTTTAACAAATTTTTTGGAGGATCGAGGCCAAGTACTCCATTTTATCACATTTTTAATGACCGTGGAAACAGGTTTATAGAAACAGCTTTTCCAAGTAGACATAAGAGGAATTTCCATCCTTTTTAATGAATCCATTAGACTGAGTGCTAATTACTTTTGGTACCTTTTAACTCCTCTCTTCTTCTTCTGCTATTTTAAAACATCAATTTAAGAAAATCTGTTTGTTTCTAATGAGATGTTTTCACAAAGGATTGTAGCTTTAGGGTTGTTATTGGTGTCACCACTGTCTGTGGGCTTTTTATGAAAATGCAATTTAACATTACACATTACGTAGCAGTTCTGAACTGACTTGTAATAGGATCAGACGTTTGCACTTGAAGGCAGTAAAAATTATTTTAGTTTACAATAGTAAATTGAATAACACTACAATGAGATAACGGGCAAACACGGAGTATATGGTTCAATAATGTTCTGTTTATTGAAGAATAAGTATAAAGTTCTCTGCATATTCTGCATGTTGACAGTAGGTTTCCAGGATGATGTGCGCATTTGTGGCATTTGAAGGTTTGTTTTGTAAATGCTGTAACACCCACAGTCTCAGCATTGGTTTTAGTGAATTTCTTATAAATAAAATGAGTACTTTACTTGTAGGGGTTGTATTTACAACTATGCTTTATTTCTTCAAACTGGGGATTTGCGTCCTGTACCCCCTTGAAGCCTGATAGTTTTTTTGCTTTTAACATCTTTGGAAACAAAAGCAGGACTTGGTGTCTTGTGGAAACTATATTAGCTTACCATAGGGAGCTTGGGATTGTATGTCCTAATTCATTGAGTCATATAAAAATGCAACTAGAAGGGACTTGAAGAAGTCATCTGTTTCATCCCTTTATAGAATCATGTTCCTTTTTTGACATTTTTCACATTCTTTTCTTAAAGACTTCTAGTGACGGAAACTCCAAATTTTTAATAGGTCATTGGTATACCCTCTCTGAAGACTTTCTATTTTAGTAGAATGCCAGTGCCTCAGAGCAGCAATAAAAGATTTGTTTTAAGCTTTCCTTGCAGGACATGCATTTGTGAAAGGGAGTTACCAAGACCCTGCTCAAATTCACAGTGAAGAGATTCTGCTTGACTTTGCTGAGAGCCAGGATGGGCCTTTTAACTGTGATGGTGAAAGTCCTGACCTGGCCCTGAGCACTTCAAGCCAGATGGAAACACATCTTTAGCATATTGAAACGTGTAGTAAATGTCGCATACCATATCAGTGCTTTTGACCTTCACTTGGAAGAGGCCAAGTGCTAAACTCAGAAGGCTGTCTTTGTGATGTTACACTTTCATTTTCTGATTTCCAGCCCAAATGGACTGGGATCACTATGGTTAATTTTAGTTTCTGTATGCTTTCTGTATTGAACCTTGCCTGTGACAATTCAAATTTATACCTATTTTATAAATAGCAAAACTTAGTTCATCAGAGGTGATAGATCAGAGGCGAAAGGAAAGCTAATTCTAACTGCAGTTTGTAGATACTAGATATACTTTAGCATTAATAGTTCTGGGGACTCAAAGCCTTTCTGAAAATTTCCTCTAAGGTACTGGTGCTATCATAGATACAGATATGTGAGCATTTCACATATTGACTACTGCTTCACATCTTCTGACAAACAGATTTAATTGGAGTCGGAATCACAGAGTGAACAATATAACCATGCAACTGCCACAAATGAGATCAAATGGTGAATAGGTAACCCAAATAGCTCACACTTCTGAAAGACAGTGTGCTTTTATCTGAAATAGGTACCTTACATAACACCTGAGGAGAAGCTTTTTCAAGTATCTCCATATAATTCACTAGTATTTTAGTCCAGCTAGTTAAACACAATACATAACACACAGGTTACGGTGAATAAATCTGGAAACGCATTTAATATAATTAGTCTGGTACATCATTCTTGTACTCCGAGAGCAACATGTTGCTAATGATGTGAAAAAGGAGTTCACAAACATTAATGGCAATGACTGTGAAAGCCCTGTTCTGGTTTTCAGTACTATATCTCACAAAAGCACTTTGCATTTGTTCTGAGTACTAAAATAATACTTAGGTCTGAAATTGAGTGAAAAATTAAAATGGTGAGATGTGGTATATTAGATCCACTGTCCATATCGCTCAGATGTGTTCGGTGTGCAGAGTAGTTCTTTTTTAACAACCAAGTTTGGAGTTTTCCTAGTGGATAGGTTGAAGCAAGATAGATAGACTCAGATTCAGTCAAGAATTTAATCTCCTAAATTCAGCTGATTTCAATCTGATTTTGCAGTTTGCCATGGTTTTGTTCAGAGCAATCAGAGAAATTTGTCTTACCTTGATGGCTAAATGTGGATTGAGATGCCTCATTTTAGCTACCTGAGGTATAATGGATGCTTTCCTAGACACCTTGGCAAAGCTATAATGTGCATCTTCTAGTGGGAAGTAAGTATGGACAGACATTAGTGCTGATTCACTTGGCCCTTGCAATTTGTTCAATATATGGGTCCTAATTTTTTAGAAGTGCTGCCTATGCCTCAGTGCAGAAGGAAGCCTTACTGGTGAGGTGTTGGTATGGTATTCCTTTAGAACTTGCCTCATCAATTCAGAGACAAGTTAAAATTGTTAACTCATTTGAGGGCCCGGCATATAAAATAGCTGGGTCCTCTCTCAGCTTTGTCCTTACACAGGAGTTCCCTAAATACATGTAATGCTGTTAAATCACTCAATGCTGGAACCAGTGGCTGCAAAGGGGGATCTCAAAGCTAGGTGTCTACAGTTGCAACCGTGTTTTGTTTCAGGTGGTGCTAATAAGGAGACGAGAGATGTGGTGTCCTTAATCCTTTTATTGTATTTGCACCTAGCCTGGCCTTCCTTCAGGTACCTTCTTAGACCCCCTCCTGTCATGATGTCTGACTTACAAACAGCTTTGAGTGGAGGCAGTCAATAAGATCTGTCAGCAATTTAACCTAAAATCATCAAGATATACCATGACTGGTTTGCTATTTATCCATATTCCTCCACACTCATCATTTGAGTGTCACTTACTTCCCTTTATTTAGAAGACCTTCAAAGCACGTATCCTGTCTTCCCATGTTTTAAATTATACATCACAAGTGCACTCTTAGTTCTTACTAGAGCAGTCGGTTGCTCCCCCAGTGTTAATAAACAAAGATACTGCCACCAGAGTATGTTTGTTGAGCAGTGATACGTACATGGCTGAGGAGTTTGGTCAAATACAAGCCATGGCATCATCAAAAATTGAAGGCTTATGTGGTGTACGCACTGAGAGCATGCAGACACTGAGGGTGGAGGACCTGGCATCTCTGCTGTTTCTAACAGGCATTCATCTCCCACTCAGAATTTAAACAGGCTTAAATGACCTTCAGTCATGCAAATCTGTGAGCTGTTCTCTGTGGTAATTCACGATTGTTGTTGAGAGATTAACACTGTATCGGAGAATTACACAGCTGTAGTACAAGGGAGGAAAGTGTTTTTTTCTCATGCTGAAAAGCAGATTACACATCTGAGATTTTTTGTACTAGCTTTACTACCTCTCACTATGGTTCAACCTTCTCCTCCCACTGCTAGCCCAACAGGACATTGATTCAGACCCATCTAGACAAATTAGAACAGAAATAGGCACACCAGGACACATTTCTCCCCATTCAAGGCAATGTCATGGCCAACATGACATGAACATGATTTCTTTATTTGGAGACCAGTGGAGGAGACAAACTGAAGGAAGAGCTTAAAAGTGCAGTGTAGCGTCCACGAAACTTTGATAGTCAGGCAGTACATCCAGGCCGTACCCTTCAGTGACAGCAAGGACTTTTTGTATCTGCCCCCCGCTGCCAATCTGACACAGAAGTCTCTCCCTCTGGAAGTGGCAAAAGGGTAATATCTCTGGCTGTTTTCCCTTTAGTCACTGAGCAGCAGGAAAGAAATTGTTTCACCTTCCTGTAATGCAGCCAGGCAATTCAGGTCATTATTTCTGCCTCCACACTGTGTGCTGGGACCAGAAATAAAGCTAGTCTCGGGTACGTCAAAAAGGCTTTTGGTGAATGGGGCAATGGCAAAGGGCTGCATGGAGCGATGCTAATTTGCTCTGCACATGCTATGGCACACAGTGGTTGCTGTAGCACAGCATGTTTCACTGGCAGAGGGTACACAAGGACAAATGTGTGCAAAAGAATCAGAGCCTAATTGCTGCTGATTTTTTTTCTTGTTTTATAACCTGCATTTAGTCTCCAGATCCCTTTTAAGAGGCAATTTGGCAGAAATTTGAGGCACATTATTTAAAGCAGTTTTAGAAAATACGGCTACTGTGTATCTAGAAGAATCAGAAGAATGAGGAAAGCAAGTAAAAGGGAGAAGGAAGCATCTAGACATGAATCTAATGGATGACAAAAATAATGTGTGGAGTGGGAAAGCAAAACATGGCCTGGAAAGTTCATGTAAATGTACTTAGAATGAATGACTGCTGGAGCTGTTTATTCTGACATATGAGAATATACATTTTATGATGGTCATTAATAACCTTGTAAGATGAGGCCCTGTTGCTAGATATGAAGGTCATTGCACCACCAGCAGCACCCCAGAGTTAGGGAATTAAGTGAAGGCTTTGTTTACTGTGATACAGTAAATTGCCTGCCCTGCCACAGTTGTCTGCAGTGCCTCATTCTTGGGGATCCCTGCATGCCACCCTGCTGCGTGTATAGGTAAGACTGTGATGTCTGATCAAATACAAACTATGTTTCAAATATCAGAGGAAAAACAAAATACAAGCTTCTGTGGTTATAACTGGAAGGGACAAAGGGATTCCCTTCATGTCATAACGATGTCATTTTTATGCCATGGATGTGTTGCTAAAGGAAATGTATGGCCAAGTGGGAAAGATCCGAGTTGATTCTGACTGAGCTGATACAGAGTACAGGCCCACACAGAGACTTTAATGGGCACCCCAAAGGCAGGAAAGTGATGATACTGTGGTGCTGCCACCGGACTCATTTGCTAGTGCCAGTGCAGTAGTTCAGGACTAATTTGTTCAGCGTTTGGGGATTTTTACGCTACACAGTACTCACAAGGGAAATATGCTCAGTGATGTTGATTTCACAATGTCTGATTGACAGCCTGAACTATATAAATTATTTCTAGGTGCAACCACTCAAACAAGCATGAACAGTAAATAAAGATAGAATCGTAGAATCGTTTAGGTTGGAAAAGACCTCTAAGATCATCAAGCCCACCCGTCACCCCAACCCCACCATGCCCACTAAACCATGTCCCAAACCCCACATCTACACGTCTTTTAAATACCTCCAGGGATGGGGACTCCACCACTTCCCTGGGCAGCCTGGTCCAATGTTTAACCACTCTTTCAGTAAAGAAATTTTTCCTAACATCCAATCTAAACCTCCCCTGGCGCAACTTGAGGCCATTTCCTCTCGTCCTATCACTTGTTACTTCGGAGAAAAGACCAACACCCACCTCGCTACAACCTCCTTTCAGGTAGTTGTAGAGAGCCATGAGGTCTCCCCTCAGCCTCCTTTTCTCCAGGCTAAACAACCCCAGTTCCCTCAGCCGCTCCTCATAAGACTTGTGCTCCAGACCCTTCACCAGCCTCGTTGCCCTTCTCTGGACACGCTCCAGCACCTCAACGTCCTTCTTGTAGTGAGGGGCCCAAAACTGAACACAGTATTCGAGGTGCGGCCTCACCAGTGCCGAGTACAGGGGCACCATCACTTCCCTCCTCCTGCTGGCCACACTATTTCTGATACAGGCCAGGATGCCATTGGCCTTCTTGGCCACCTGGGCACACTGCCGGCTCATGTTCAGCCGGCTGTCGACCAACACCCCCAGGTCCTTCTCGGCCGGGCAGCTTTCCAGCCACTCTTCCCCAAGCCTGTAGCGCTGCATGGGGTTGTTGTGGCCGAAGTGCAGGACCCAGCACTTGGCCTTGTTGAACCTCATACAGTTGGCCTCGGCCCATCAATCCAGCCTGTCCAGGTCCCTCTGCAGAGCCTTCCTACCCTCGAGCAGATCAGCACTCCTGCCCAACTTGGTGTCGTCTGCAAGCTTACTGAGGGTGCACTCGATCCCCTCATCCAGATCATCGATAAAGATATTAAACAAGACCGGCCCCAAAACTGAGCCCTGGGGAACACCGCTCGTGACCGGCCGCCAACTGGATGGAACTCCATTCACCACAACTCTCTGGGCCCGGCTGTCCAGCCAGTTTTTGACCCAGCGCAGAGTCCACCTGTCTAAGCCGTGAGCCGCCAGCTTCTCGAGGAGAATGCTGTGGGAGACAGTGTCAAAGGCCTTGCTGAAGTCCAGGTAGACCACATCCACAGCCTTTCCCTCATCCACTAGGTGGGTCACCTGGTCATAGAAGGAGATCAGGAGATCATCGAGTCCAACCGTTGACCCAACACCACCATGCCCACTAAACCATGTCCCTAAGCGCCTCATCTACACGTCTTTTAAATACCTCCAGGGGTGGTGACTCAACCACTTCCCTGGACAGCCTATGAACAGATGAACAGAAACCTTTTCAAGAACACACATTTTCTACCAGAAAATGCTAATTTGGCAAAAATGATACAATTTGAAGGCAAGTTATTCATTTTAAGAAGTTCAAAAAAGAAGCTCCAGAACACTCGTTAATAATATTTTATAATAGCAAAACATGAAATGTAAGGGTTCCATTTCCAGATTTTCCCCAACTTTCTGTTTAATAGTGAATGTGTGCATAGAATAGAAAATAAACTTCAACTTTCAGGACTCTCCGGAGAGACTGGTTACTCCTCTGGTCTAATAATAAACCTGATAACAATGACTTTACTAACTGTTTGTAGATGATTAACGAATGTATTGATAATACAGTAAATATACTGCAGAATGCATCTCTTTAAGAAAATAGCTACGCACCTACCTCTTTAAATTCTTAGGAAGTGTTAAATATAAACTGCAGTGCAACTGTAGATAGCAGGTGAAGAGTCAGATCTGAACACTTGGCAAGATAAAGAAGCATCCTACACTTATTGCAGTGGCCTCTGTGTACTTTGAATACTTCATTAAATCCATCCTTGGTCAAATACGTACATGCTTGGAGGCAAAAATGTAGTCACCTTCTTAACATGTGCTTATCTCTGTAACATTCTGTACTGCTCACAAACGTGGTCCTTGGTGCCGAGATGTGTCTGTGTGAAAGACATTACAAAACCTTCTCTTTTTTGAAAGTAGCCTTGGCTGAACGGAGAGATAAGCTGAGGCTGCTACAGAACCTTTTGGCATGGCCATTGTTTTTCAGAGCAGGTATCAAAGGTTCTGGCTAAGTGTTGGCATTAAGTGATGGATGAGTCTTTTTTGAATCCTCTGTGAAAATTCAAGTGACATGGTTTAACACTGTTTGTAACTTGAGGCCTTTCCTTGCTTCCGGTTTTGCAGCTTCTCTAGCTGTTCATTAAATCACTGGTGCAGAGAGGAAAAGTTCAGCTGTTTCTTGAGCTGAAAATGATGGAAAAATATTAGAGAATGCAGGAGCCTTTATACCTAGATTAGTCTAATAGATGGATTTTCCTGTCAGAAGCTTACAGAAGATTACAGTAGCTGATGTACTGAAGGTAAAATAAGATCAGAATCAAAAGAGGGGATACCCAGATTTTCATATATCAAGAAGGTGTTAGAGAAGTTGGCAAGTATCGCACCTGAAGGCTTATTTCGAGAAAAATCAGCTGAGAAAAACTTTACATACCACCGGACTTATGGCTATTCATCTAAATCACAGGCCTCCAGATACCTTAGATACTATTAACAACCATTAAGTGTTGGACAGGTTGTGTTCTGCAACCTTGCTAGTTTTTAAAGACAGGCAAAAACCACCCCAAAACCAAATTAAGATCTTGTTGAAGTTTAAAGGCATTAGCGCACAGAATTTTTGGTTTGAGCAAAGAATAAGTTTTGTCCTGACTCAGTATGAATAAATTTTTCTCTTGCTTTCTCCCTATAGCAAGCATGAACTGGAAAATCAGTCTTTACCAGAACTTTATCTTGACCCATTCCCCAATACTGGCAAGCTGGAGAAGCAGCTGTCATGGGTATAAAACTTCAGGTCTGCTGAAGAGTTTCTCTTTACCAGGGGGTTTTACTGCAGTAGAGGTTCTACACTGTCTGATGGCCACAAAAAGCTGACACAGAGATTTCAGTTCTGTTACTGCATTGTATTCCTGGGAATCCATGCATGCTTCTACGACATACGAAAGCAGACACAAACCCTAGATGTTTTGGCCAATCCTAGATGTTGAGGCCATTTGGGTGGCATGTTTCCATCTCAAGTAACTGGTCACTACTGTATGTTTCATGACATGGTGGTGTTTGTTGCTTGTTTGTTTGTTTTTCACCTTCATATTATACACGAGTTTGACCTAGATATAACAATCTCTACTATTTTGTTTATATAGGATATATACTCTTCCACAAAATTGATTCTTCCCCTTCTTAGAAGAGCAGAGTCCACTGAAGGCAGCAATACATGAGCTCTGAGAATTTCATTGTGGAGGCCACATTTATTCTGAAACTGTTTTTCCTTCTAGGCTGTTGGCTGTGATTATGAGATAAATTCCAACGCAACTGAAGACCAGTGTGGAGTTTGCCTGGGAGACGGCTCTGATTGTCATACAGTGAAGATGATGTTTAATCAAAGTGAAGGATTTGGTAAAATGGGTTCTTTTTTTAAACTCTTCAGTTGGTGAAGTCATTTCTCTACATAAAAAGGATTAAGCGCTTCTCATTGCAAACTGAGTGATCTATCTGTGTAGGAAATTGTAAATGAATGTTTCACAGTGAATCATGCTTCTGCCAGAAAAGATCTGTGGTCTGTGCTTTTTAAGTTCATCTTGTCTAATAAAAATTATGTCAGAGACCAACAGGCCTACGCAAGTTATGCAGATAATAATAAAACCCAAAATAGCAAGTGCATTTACAAAGTGAATGTAATTTACCACCTTTAAAAATCTGGACCAAAACTCTGGACAGCATAAAGCACCAAGAAAATGCTGGAGTGAGTAGTTTGGGGATTCATTTCTAAGTGTCATAAATCTGATACCATTGGCTCTGGTGACCATGTGCCACCTCTTCCCCACGCAGAACTTGGCACTTCTAGTTACTCTAAAATTTTCTGTGGAATGCCTCTGGCTTGAAAGCGGAGAAGAGTAACTCCCTGCAGGGTTAAGGTGGTCTGAATCAGCACTCGGAGGACTGAGCCTTTCTTCACTGACGGCAGTGAGACATTCAGGCTTTAAGTTGCCTTGTGTGGGATGAATGGGAGCCAGAGAGTCTAGAAGAGGCAGTGGGAGTCTTAAATGAGAACCATGGCGGTGAGCTGGAGATGGAAGAGACAGCCAGGATGAACAGCTTTGGATGGGAAACCAGGACAGGAGGGGGAGAGGTGGGAAGACGGGGCACTGGAGAGTGTGCTTAGAGCAAGGTCTGTGGCTGAAGAAGGAGGCTGGTGCAGAGATGAGAAGTCTCAAGAGCAATAATTGGTACCGTGCTAATGAGGAGGGATAAACTGTGGTGAGGGTGTGGCTTTGACTGGCTTTTGGGTTTGTGGGTTTTTTTCCATAAAATAATTCTGATTTGCACAAATATGATTTGTGCTAATAATTTAGAGCTGGTTTGATAAGATTTTCCAAAGTTTGGGGGAAAAGCACTTTCAATATTTCAGTTTTTTTTCTGTACTGTGTACTTGGATTTGCTTTCCTCTGTTCCATGTCCCACAGGTGAACTGTGAAGATGCCTGCAACCATGCAGCAGTGCAGGTTGTATATGTGTGTGAGACTTACAAAGGAAAATCTAGAGCTCCCTCTCCTCCAATACTACAGTAATCCTCCAGCCTCTGATCGTTTGCTTTACTACTCTAAAATTCGCTCTGCCTTTGACTGTGTGTGGGTTTTCCAAGGCTGCAGATGATGTGAAGTTTATTTTCAAATAACAGTTTTACTAAAAAGTTCCAATACTGTAACACATGGGAGGATAAGTGCATCTTATTTTATTTAAATTCATTTTGTGTTTTATCTTCACTTAGTTTTTCCTTGCCCCAAGATTCAATAAGCCTCACTGATGGATACTGCTTAGGGATACTGAGTGTTAAGTAAAATTATTTCACTGCTTTCTTTAGATTCAGTAAAAAATTGATTGATTCTGCAGATTCTTTCCCTTCTACAGATGTTGACTCTGTTGCAGACAAAATAAGGAAAAGTGTCAGGAAAGGCAGAGGTTGGTGGGCTCTTCAGCTTTTAAGACAACATGTGGATCTTGCTGATGTTCACAGGTGTTAAACTGAGAACAGGAAAATGGTTTTGTTTGCAATATCTGGCTTCTTTTTGTCTCTGACAGGTACTGTGGTGCTCTGTCTGGCAGTACAGATTTATGACAGAGTGGCTATTGAACAGTTTATGTAAACATAAAGACTTCAGGCTCATAAATTCAGTATAGGTAACTAAACTGGACCAAAGCATGCTGCCAGTCACTGGCAAGGAAGATTTGAAGAGTTTTTTCTGTTTAATGGCACAGAAAAATACAAAATCAAAGCTTATTTTGATTTAAAGCTTTATTCAGAACCTAAGTCCAGAAGGGCCTTTCCTGGGTCTGGTGCTGCAGCAGTGTGTATTCTGTCTGCAAGTTGACTAAGTTGCCAGGTCAGACTAATGAAATGCTAGGAAAGAGTTTTAATAATTCAGCCTTTCACTGCAGGGCAGGGTGATCAGTTTTACCTGAAGTCTTACTGCCTCATGTTCGAAAAGAAAAGTTTTAAAATCTCTATTATTACTTGGTTTTTCTTTAAAATTCTTTGTCTTTCCTGTCTATGCAAAATGGGAATAGTGGTCCAGGGACACCCAACACAGCCACAGGAATGGCAGCATCATCTGTGTAATGGATTCCATTAGAGCTTCATGATGGAAAACAAATCAGAGGTCTGATGTGCACGAATGGTCTCAGCTGTTGACACTAATATTAGCAAGTACCTGGTCTGCACCTTGTTTTCAGGAGTTTCATTTGAAAATCATTGAAGTGGCTTCAGCTGAACTCTGATGGCAGAAAGGTTGCAACATGAGCAGAGCATTGAAAAGCAAGGTCTAGGCCTGGGCAAAGAAGTCACAAGCTCTCCTGTTGTTAAGGTAGAAGAAGTCCGGTTTTATTTTGAGGTATTTAAAAGTGGAAATCTCTGTTCTTATTGAAGTTGTGATGGCTGCAAAGGAGTATTACTGTGTACAGCATAACATTTGCAAGGTGTGCAAACTCTTTTGGAAGGAGAATAAATTGCACTGCTGGATGAGGAGAAGCATTGGGGTAGGAGAAAGACTGAGGCACAAGGGACAGGGATTTAGGACTGTGGCAAGTGCAGGGAGCGTGGAGTAAATGGATAACAAAAAGGGGGAATGAGGTTGTGAGGATCAGACAAAGGGATGTGCCGGGGAAGGAGGAGTGGCTAGGAAACAAGTGGTGGTCAGAAGGATGGGTGATAGTCCTGTCTTCACCCCTTTGTGTGTGTAGGGGGAAATGAATTTTCCAGCTTTCAGTAGCAAGGGGACAATGCATTTAAATTTCTGAAAATTAGGAAACAAGGGATTGTACAATAGGGGTGGAGGTGACTTAGTCTGCCAGTCAGAAGGCAAGATTAGGTGCTTGTCACTCCTGTGAAGGGCTGACTTTTAGCGAAGTGATGGGCAAATAAGGAAACTGTGACTGTACTCACCCTAATCTGGAGGTTTATCTCCAGGTTTATCTCCTGTTATCTCCTGACGCAACTTGGCTGGGACTGAATCAACATGCACCATCGTCTCCCTGCTATCCCTGTTTCCTTTTCATGCAACCAAAGTGCAGACAGAGATCTGGTACGTGCCTGAACCTAGCCCTGAGATGGAGTCTGGACATAGCCATGATGCAAATGTTGATCTGAGAGACTGGAAGGTCTCCTGGATCCTCACTTAGGAGACTATCTCTGGATTATAATTTTTTTCCCATTACCATCACACACTGCAGTGCTCCCTCTATTCCATGGGAAGGCTGTATGCAACCATACCTTGATTTGCAAACCCGATATGCCACCGGGAGCCTATGCGGTTTTCCACATACTATTCTTGTGGTAGTGCCTAGAGCCTGGCTTAGAGGAAAATTGTGCCTCAGGAACATGTATTTTTAAGAAAGAGAAGCTCACAGATACACCAAACTGGAGAGCAGGGTGGGAGCTGCTGTGAACAGGAGAAATAGCCAGATCTGATTATCATCTGATCTGCAATACTGTACTAACCACTGGAGTGAAATTACTCCTCTCTCACAGCAATGAGAAAGAGAAACAAGCTCTTCAAGTCCTGGTAGAGCTGTGTCTACAACAAGGGTTGCATGAATTTATTCATGTTGTACTCTCGTCTGTATTAGGAGCACATAGATTTAATTTTAATTAAAAGGGAAAGATTAATAGCATCTGAGAGTTGCCATTTCACGGGTGTATGGTAGCACCCACAATATGGATGCTCCAGGATTTAATGAGCACAGCATGTAAGTTAGATGATATTTTGACTGTTATTCAATCTCAGATCTCTAGATTCTTATCAGATGAAACCATATAACCAGGAACAATTATATAAACACCATCCACATCATTTTTAAACAAAGATTTATTATGTTGAGTGACAAACTCAAAAGGTTGCTACTGATTAGCTTTGCTTTCAAAAGCAGATAACATTCATTAGGAATTAGTGTGAGGTTCTGGGAAATCAGGAGGTAATTTAGCTAGTCAAAAAAGGGAGGGCTGGGGAGAAGGGAGTGTGTTACAAGTGGTAACATCTATCACCAGATGGTTGCAATACATTTAAAATCAGGTTTATGAGCAACAGCAGGTGATTCAGACAAAAATAATTATGCAAAAACTTGAGAGGATACAGATTTGTATGTTACAACAGAAAGAAAATTATGTTTTATTGTTTTTATACTTTGTGTTTTGAACAAAATGTTATGGTAATTACATCCAAAAAAAAAACCCTACTGGAAAAGGACACCAACGTTGCAAAGCCAAGCTGTCAGGACGTGACACAATTAAGATTTTCCATGCTGTGTTAATTTGGCCCATTTGTGAGTATGCCTTCTAATCAAGTCTTTAGTTACATGATCACACACTGTGTTCATAACATGTCTCCTCTGCACTGAATGAATAGAACATTTGGAAGAATCATTAGACCTTGGTTACTTATAATAGACCTAGACCGCTGGTTTCCTATAATAGAAGTTATTCAGTAATCCTCCAGATTTTATTCCCTTCACTTACGAAAGACTGAAAAGTTTGGATTTCCGCAATCAGTCTAGGAAACTTGCAAAAGGTGACATCCAGAAAACTCTCTCTCTTGAACATTAATCACTGGAAAAAAAAATACATAGTTATATATTATTAATGTAATTAGGAAGGGCCTGAAGTAGACAGATCAGTAGACAGTACCATAAGCAATATACGACATTAGAACCAATACTTACCACCCCACAGAAGAGCTGCAAAGAAAATTCAGATGTTAAAGACTTTGGGGCACTTATTTACAACAGCAGGTTGTTGTACAGCATGTAAGTACTTCTGGTAGGTGGAGAGCGTTGATACCGAAGATCGCTTAGTATGCCCAGTGTGGTTTATCTCATTCATGTGAGTGAGTAATCAAAGGTGGTAAGTTTATTTCACAAGAAAGGTGAATGGGATGTGAGTCTCAGAATTTAATTCATGACCTCAGCAGTGTGTGATGGGAACTGGGGAACCACATATGTTCCAATCTTGAAGTAAACTAGCACAAACTGCAGCTCACGCTCCCAGGGCACCTGCTTGTAGAGCTGTCATCCGTTCAATTTCTAAAGCCTATCCAGGAGCAATAGCAAGAAAGCTACCTGAGTTTGTGTTCAAATTTCTATGTGAACTTCCTATTTTTACAGTTCAGTAGTAATAGCAATAGCAGTTCCCTGCAAGGTGAGAAACACAGAGCCTGATGTCATATATTTCCTGTGGTGCAAACAAAATTCTGTAATAGATGCTCTGGGTTCATTCTTAACACACATACCAAAAATCTCTTTTTACAGATAACTTTATACATGAATAGCTGTTGAACTGCCTTTTGAAAATCAGTAGTTTATAAAAATGTGTTCAACTGATCATAGTAATTTGAGGCATTTGAACAGCGTTCAGGTTTTTTGTAGAAAGGCTATCTATGGGAAACAGTCATGGAGAAGTTAAATGACTTAAAAGAAGGTACATGGAATTATGTACGTACCTGTAAGTTGGTGGCAGATTAAAACGTTCCTTGCAAATTGAAAAGACCCTTCCCACAACAGACCGTTAACTTCCTGGGACTCCCTGGCATTTCTCCAGATTACTCACATTGCAGTATGCCAGAGCCCTTGGGTATGGTTACGGAGATGTTGATGCTCATCTGTGGAGCAGATTTCCCCTGGTACAGCTCAGAAAATCATTCACCATCATATCTCTTCTAAATGCCACTGTCATTGCCTAAACACAATGTGCATTCGTATTCCCCAACTGATACTGCAAAACCTGGTTTTTTAATAAACACTATTAACTAACTGAAATACAAGATCTCTGATAGCACATTTGTATATATTTTCAAGCAAAGCTGATATTTTAGTAATCTTATACATAAGTAAAATGCAATGATGTTCAACAAGGCCAAATGCCGGGTCCTGCACTTCGGCCACAACAACCCCATGCAGCGCTACAGGCTTGGGGAAGAGTGGCTGGAAAGCTGCCCAGCAGAGAAGGACCTGGGGGTGCTGGTCGACAGCCGGCTGAACGTGAGCCGGCAG